TGTGTATGAGTTTAGGACTTAATTAATATTGTTGAGATCACCATGAGTATTTTCACATATTCATAATTCATTCATTTGGAATAGTCAAAAATAAAAACACAGCCATATACAGATTTAAAGATCACAATTAATCATGATTCCACAGCTATCCTGTGATTCATCAGATCCAAACTGATTCAGACAGCCCCAGGTGTTTCAACGATTCAAAGTCGACAGTCAAAAACAAAGTTCGTGTTGCTCTGCGATGATGACGTTCGAACTGCAACCGTAATCTTATCATTTCTGTGAGACTGATGACTCAGATTTTTGAGGGCCGGAGGTGTTATCAACATCTCACACAGTGTGATGCGTGAGACTGTGTGAACTGTGTGTGTATCAACTCAGAAACAGCTGTACCTCCATGGCCTTCCTCATCATTTTGGCATCAAACTCTGCCGGCGTCAGCATGAGGCCGATGATCAGCCGTTCTAGGTTCTTGGACAGTTCAGATTTCAGGTCCTTCATCAGATCCTGACGAGAAGAAACACCAAAGAGAAAAGACAATACAGCTAGAAGACAAAGAAAACAACATATTTGATGATATATTTGATCATATATTTGATGAAATGATCGATGATCTTCATCATCGTCTCTCACCCTTCCCAGTAAGGACTTAAAGGCTTGTCTAATCTCCTGCCTCTGGGCGTTGCTTCTCTTTGCAACAATTTCGATGATGGTGTCTTCATCTGTTCCTGTTGTTATGATAACATTTAAAAAAAGATTAGCAAAAGGCAAATGTGTTTAAGTATAAAAGCATTAGCAGTGATGATGGGCGCTACGTTCACAGCTGCTCACCAAAGCCCTTCATGGCCTTCCTCAGAGCTTGTGCATCAGCAGCGGGGTCGAAATCAGACGCCGGGCAAACAGTTGGCCTCAGCTGGAAAAGAGCAAGTGAAAGAAAGTGTCTTCGTCATCTTTGAATGAAAAACTCCAGGTCTTTAGTGGGTTTTAGTGGCATGCATGCAGA